TCCATTTCCCATGCTGGGTAACCATGGAGACACTGGGCCGTTGTGTTGCTGTTGTGTTGTTGGTGCCTTCGATCAGGTTGCACTCTATGTTTGCCTGTTTCATGGACATGGGCTTGTCTTGTGACTGACCAGGAGTCCTGATGGCATAGTGCTTACTAGTTGGGTTTTGAGCAAGGTCTGCAGTTTGAAACCATCAGGCGCTCCACGAGAGAAAGTTGGGGACTTCTACTCTCGTAAAGAGTTAGTTACCGACTTGGAAACCCACCGGGGCCGTTCTACACTGCGCTATAGGGTCACCATGATGACAGTGAGGTGTTTTTTGTAGTTATTTCACTTGACATAATGTTCTGAAAGTTTTATCTGTTTTCCAGCATGTCAGGATTTTATTTCTCTTTTTAGATAAAGCAATATTCAACCCATCTATTGATGTACATTTAATTACTGCCACATTTTGACTCTCAAAGGGAGTGTTTAACTGAGGTGCCGCTTTGCTCTCTGTGGCCTGAAGCCCCAGGCCTGGAGCTCAGACTGAGGGCCTGCTGGGTCTTGTTATTACCCAGACAACATCAGGAATCCCTTTCAGCCTCACTTCTGACTAGATCACTCCCAATCCCGAGTGTAATCAAGTTTTCTAATTCAACTGTAGAGTTTTTAAAAGAATTAATTATCCAGATAAAAGAGTCGAGAGCAATCAGGTGGTCATACTACCTAATTTTTTTTAGCTTATTTTTAAGTGTTATAAAATGCTGTATAGCATTTACCCAGTAAAGTTTGATTCAAAGCAAAAGAATAATACTGCAGTGAATATGAATGTATGGATATGTGTTTGAATTTGAATTTGAATTCTTTTGGGTCTTTGCCTGGCCTTGGAAGTGCTGAGGCATACTGGGCTCTATAGGCAACTGTTTTTTGAGGAGCTGCTGGGCAAACGTTTTCAGATCAGCAATACTATTTTGCGCTGCCATTCGCAGTGGTAGAGAATCCCTTTTAAAATGGCAGTGGAAAAATGAGCTGATTCTGGGAACCCAAGAGGAATGCGAATTTTGGGAATAATGAGGGCAACAAATGTATAGATGTGCTTTACACAATTGATCTATGTATTGTGATGAATTGT